CTTTAAACATATGAGTAGCCTTTCTTTCATCTCTTCGCTGACACAGAGTTTTCCAGCCTAACGAAAATAATAATTTCTCAGTACTAGTTCCTTGGATAGCTCCAGATACTATCAAGGCTGCACGGTAATGAATTTTATTTAATTTTTCAAGTTGAAGTTTTGATGCAGAGTCAAAAAATAGCGCTCCTTGTTCCAGATGAGGCAGAATATAAGAAATATACATTCGTTCTAAATGATTAGATGTCAATTTAACTTTTAGAAAACTTAATGGATTGAGCATTTTACTTGCCTTAATTGCAATGTAATTGATGTGCTCTTCAAAGTTCAAATGTGCATCTAGGATTACTCCCAGATGCTTATGACTATGGACACGTTCAATTTGATCATTGCTGAGGAAGAGTGATGGATAATCTATGGTTTGTGATCTTGACTTACAGAAAATTACTTCTTTAGATTTACTAGCCTTAAATTTCATTTTCCATACTTGTGACCAGTCAAAAATGTTATTTAAGTCATTTTGTATTTTATCATGAGACGTTTTTACGCCTGTATTAGGTGTTACTCGAACATATAAAGATGTATCATCGGCATAAATGAATGAAGTAGATTCTATTATATCAGGAAGGTCATTAATGTAAAGCAAGAAGAAAATTGGTCCTAAAATTGATCCTTGAGGTACCCCACTATTTATGAAGCCTGATTGTGACCAAGGGGAAAGTTCTGAGTTGACTTTTGCCCTAACTCTTCTACCATGGAGATATGAAGTAAAAAGTTTAAGCAGGTTATCCCTAATTCCGTATGCTTTGATTTTATGTAGAAGCAGCGAGTGAGGAACTTTATCAAAAGCAGATTCTACATCTAGAAAGGTTGCACGAACTTGCTGATTGTTTTCAAAAGCAGAAAAGATATAATTAGTGATACTCATTAGTTGGAGGTCAGTACTGTGGCCTGGTAAAAAGTTGAGCATCCTGTTAGTAATGCCATCAGGTCCTGCAGCCTTCGAAATATCAAGATTGCGTAACAGTTTATGAACTTCCACCCTGTTTGTAGATACATGGTTGAGGAGTATTGTTGATCTGGACGGGAAATTAGGCAGGTCATTCCCAAGATTAAGGTCATGATGAAACTTAGAAACAAACTGATTTAGAAATAGGGTAGCTTTGCTCATGTCTGAATCTGCAACATCATTAAGTCGATCAGAGTAAAGTGATGGAATATCAGCTGAAAATCTTTTGCCTAGTAAATTTTTAATTGTATTCCAATAGAACTTATCATTAGAAGACTGATTTTGAAGATTATCACAGATCTCATTTTCATAGTTAGATTTACTTGAATTGATAAGGTTACGAACATTGACTACTTGCTGAGTATAATCATTGAAAAATTTTACTTCATTGGTCACCTTGAATTTTCGATATAATTTATCTCTTTTGTTTATTGCTTTTTTAATGTCCGTGTTAAACCATGGTATATCATTCGCCTTGCTAACCTTTAATTTACAGTGAATGTGACTTTTAAAGATATCAAAAAGATTACTAGTAAATAATTCAGTTGCAGAGTTGACATCAGTTGAGTTAATAATGCTATCCCAATCATAATTTGATATATCTTGATTAAGTCGTTGAATATTACAGTTTTTATATTGCCAAACATTCCGTGATTTTGTATTTTTGATGAATTGTCTGGGAAAGTCAAGACAAGTTAGGATCGGTGAATGATCACTTCCACCTATTGGTGATACTACTTCAGTACTGAGTACTCTTCCCGGAGCATCTGAAAAGACTAGATCAAGGCATGATTTACAGGTTGGTGTTATTCTTGTAGGCTCGTTTATGAACTGGCTAAATGAAAAATCAGTCATAGTGTCATAAAGTGCAAGCCCTGCTGGTGTATCTGGATCTTGGTCGAAAAATAATTTTGATTTGGCATTGAAATCACCATTCATAAATACCATATCGTATCTATCTTCATCTCTAATTTTGATTAAAGTTGTCCTCAGACGGTTATTGAATAACTGAATTTGTTGCTTTGAGACTAGAGAAGGGCTACGGTAGCAAGTACCCATTAAAACTTTTGAATTATTTATCAACATTTCAACCCAAACAATTTCATTTTCATTTGACAGATCAGATCTCAGCTTGAAAGGAATACTATTCTTTATATATACAGCAATGCCCCTTCCATATTCCGGGATCGGTGGATAAATTGGCTTATGGAACCCATTCAATACATGGTTATCTAAATTGACTCTTTTACCCACTTCACAAAGAGAGATCACATCACAGTTCAGATCAAAAATGGTTTGACGTAATTCATTAAACCCAGCCCCTTCATGTGCAGTAATGCTGTTGATATTGAAAGAGAAAACATTTAAAGTATGTTCAAGGATGGGGCCTGAATTTGTTTCAATGTCATTTGCCTGCATCATAATCAGGTGCATTATCTCAAATAAATACTGATAATAAAACCCTAATCCAGGTATAATCAATGAAGCTCCAATGTAGTTCATAATGCTTGGTAATGTAACCTTGTTATGTGTAACATTAGAATTTTGAATTGCAAGACGTACTGTACAGTACAAAAGTAATAGTATTACTATCATATTAATTGACATCATAACAATACTAGCCCCTGATACAGCTATTAGATAAATGCAGTTGAGCACCGCTGCATAAGGCAAAATATGACAAGTTCCATCCAACAGACACAACACAGTGATCAGAAGAGGTAAAAATTGCAATACTGTGCACATTAATTTTAAAATTAAGTCATGAAAGAGGTATCTTGATGTATAAGATGCTTTGCAAGATTTGTATTTGACTTGAATAAAGGAACCAATCCTAGCCCTCCAAGTCGCAATGTCTAAGTTACACATGATTTAGTGTTTTTATACATAATCTCATCGTGGCTGACCGACATAATAACTCCATGAACAGGTGACGAATGAATGACAGGTGAATGAAAAATCTTCCATGATGTAGGTTTTACCATAAGGAGTATGAAGTGACTGCAGCATAAGGTAGCCATTGCTTTAAACAAAGTGAACATCAGTTGAACTGAGCAGTTTCACAAATTCACCACTAGATGTCATTTGAATGCAGAAATGCAAAACAATAACTAGAGGTTTAAGATTGCAAGCAATCTTAAGGAGGCCCTGTAGGCGTTTTTGGCAATTTCAAGGTCAGCCAAAGGTCAAATCTCAAATCTAGGGTCATATATTAACACCAGGCAACTTGTAGATGATTTTTAAAAAAAAGTTTGGTCAATTTAAAAAATCAACTTTTTTTACCTTCCGAAGGTCACTGAAGGTCAATCAAAAGTCAAAGGTCAAAACTAAGGTCAGATTTGGATTCCTGAGATCTTGTAGATGCTTTTTAAAAAAAAGTTTGGTCAATTTAGAGCAAGTTGAAATTTAGTCTTGCAAAGTTTCGAAATTTGACCTTTTTTCAGTTTTTGAGTTCTAATATCTCAAAACTGGCACACAATTTTAATAAATAGTCAATTGCTAATATGTGTAGAACCTATAGAGGAATATATATCCTGACTTTCATGAAAAAATATTGATTTGTAGTCACCAAAACTTAGAAACTTGGAAAACACAGTTTGTGATTTGGTTTGATGACCTTGACCTTTGACCTTGCAAATTTTACTTTTTTAGACCTCAGTGGGTCCTTTGTGATCAAATATACCTAAATTTGAATCCAGAAAATCAATTGTAAAAATCAGTTTTTTTTACCTTTCGAAGGTCACCGAAGGTCAACCAAAGGTCGGAGGTCAAAAGTAAGGACATATTTGAGTTCCTGAGATCTTGTAGATGATTTTAAAAAAAAATTCTGGTTCATTTGAAGCAAGTTGAAAAATGACCGATTTTTGCCGTTTTTTGACGTCAAATATCTCAAAAAACGGTAAAAAATTAACGCGTATATATAGTGAGCAATTTGTAGAGAATGCTTATATCTAGTTACATTTTAATTCATCGCAAGAAATAATAAAGTATGAGGACGAAATCTGAGAAACTTAAAAAAAACTTAGATTTGACCTAGATTTTGACCTTTGACCTTGACCTAGATAAAAAGTTCTTTCCCCCCAAGTTCAGCCAAGGTCCCTGGAAGGTGCATGTAGGAGATGGTTGAAAGGTAGTTTGAAGTAGGAGAAAAGGGTTTAGGAAGAATAAAGAATAATAATAATATCTATAAAATCTATAGGAGGCCCCCTGTCGGGGGGCCTCCTAATAATTATGAGTAGGAAAAAATAACGTTATTTCAAGTATAAGTCAAATTACAATTTTTCTTGCTAATATAAAGGTGACATAGCTAGACATAGTTAGCAGACTGTATAAATGCATTTAAACTCACGTGTATATCTATAGATGTCACTCCCATAGAATGTCAGTTGACACCCCACTGGTTTATACAGGTAAGTATTGGAGAGGACTCTAAAGGGGACTTTTAGAAGGAACAATCACTTCTGACTTTTGAGCGTGCTACATGTTGAGGAACAATATATTGCTGAATAATAATAATGCATTCGCTTGATTAATCTCTCTCAGCCACTACCTGATCATCAAACTGATAAAAACTATAGGTGAAAAACAATAGTGTTAATGTTACAGTCCACTAATGAGCTGAAATGTCCCTTGGGTAGCCTCAAGACATAAACAAAAAATAAATGAAAACAGACACATTGGTCTCTCTCTGTCACTACCTGATCAACACCCGTAAACCGAAAAAGCTAGGGGTGAAAAACAATAGTGTTAGTGTTACAGTCCAATAATGAACTGAAATGCCCCTTGGGTAGCCTCAAAACATAAACAAAAAATAAATGAAAACAGACACATTGGTCTCTCTCTGTCACTACCTGATCAACACCCGTAAACTGAAAAAGCTAGGGGTGAAAAACAATAGTGTTAGTGTTACAGTCCAATAGTGAACTGAAATGCCCCTTGGGTAGCCTCAAAACATAAACAAAAATAAAAAGAAAACAGACACATTGGTGTCGATGCAATGCAGTAATCTAACCATGATTACTAAGAATCAACTAGGGTGATCATACGTTGATCATGAAATTAAGCTTGTATGAGTCCAGCTTTCCTCAGTGCTTCATTACAGCTCTCCAGGACCAGTTCTTTTAGGACTTTATCATTGAGTTTGCCTTTGTTCACACGTGAAATGCCAACGGTGGCATTCAAAATGTTAAGTTCTTGCATTCTGTCGAGTATAATCCTACTGGTGCCATAATCTCTGTCATCATTGTTGCCTTCTTGGAGACCCGAGTCAGCAACTATTCGGTACGCATACGAGAGGTGATCTGCATTACTCACATCACAATCACTGATAAGAGTAGCCAGGGCTGCTTTCGCTTGTGACTTGTCAGCAACGTTGCAGCAAAACCCTTGGATGATATTATTATAACGCATGTGTACTTTGGAGGCTGCAATATCGTCCCTGCATATGTCGGGGGATATATCCTTAAGCTGTAGATCGAGGGGATTGTTCACAAACCCTGGATCTTGCTTTACTCCATTAACCACAAGTACACCCCTGTTAAGATGAGCCTTAAATCCCTGGACTCCATTATTTTCTGAGCGTAGCGATTTTAGCTTGGGAAGTTGGGCAACATGTTTTCTGTTCATTGTGTTAGGCAGTTGGTCAGAAATGTTCACATAACTGTTTTTTAGGTTTTTGGCATGAGACATCACCAACATTTGGCCTGAACGGTCCGAAAAGCGTACAACAATAGGCCTTGTTCTACCTCCTCCAAATCTATGTGCTACATCAATCATAACTGAACCAGCTAGATTAGAGGATGAGCGAATTGCCTCAATAGGTATACCCATTGCCTTGGTCAGGATTCCGAGAACCACAAGTTTAACATCTTCACCCTTTTGTTCAGGAACATTGTAGAAACACACGTTTAAGCGCATACTGCGGAGTCTTAGATCTTCCAAGTCATCATCATGTTGATCAGACTTAAGTTCGAGCCTGTTAATCCTGCCCTCAAGTATCCCAATATAGCGTGTAAGTTTACTATTATCAGCCTTAAGGGACTCTATTTCAGAGTTGTTATCATCAACCTTTTTGGAAGTTGCATCAAAACTTTGTTTCAAGTCTTGTAAAGATAACGTGTTAGCATCCACAGATTTTACAACACTGTCCATTTTAGAACACAGTTTAGCAATAGACGATGCAAGACCATCCATGGGAGTGATCTCCATTTCAGCCATTGTATTAGTATAGTATATATAATATTGCTATGCTGGCTATGTATTGTAAGTATATGTTGATTGTTTATACTGTGTACACTTAAAGGGACCCAACACCATGGTCACATGATCAGTCGTGTGGAGGTAAGCTCCCAGTTGAAATAAAAGCACTGTCCTCCTTTGGTTTCTGTGAAAAGTAGCTAATACCCTCATGTATTGGTCAGTTTGTGTGTCACACGACTAATCCCTACCATATGCTTCATTCAACATATTTTATGCTATTGAGCTGCATATATTAACAGTACTTTGCAACTAAGGTTATACAGTATACTTACCCCTTGCAAATTGTAATTTATTGAATTCACAGTAAACCCATCAATTTTTAAGAAAACAAAGAATATTGTTCTCATGGATCTATTGTTTATGTTAGACTAACTATGAAAATATAAATATGAAATAATATGTTAGCTTGAAGTCATATATAAGATGAAAATATATGTTCATGCATTTGCATTTTTCCAAAGGGAATATTCCCATGTAAGTAAATACAGGTGCAATATATAATTTATATGTATATCTATGTCATCTGTCTATACATGCGCGTATAGTCTAGTGTTACATGTGAACAAGATGGTTCTGGAAAGAAATGAGCGTGGCAGATTTGCTAAAAAGCCACATACACCACAAAAGCAAGACCAATTTGAAAGTAAGTTCATTATTCTCAAGGGTACACTTCAAGTGAAAGCTACATTGCTACAGGGTGGCCTATCATTCTGAGACAAATGTATTATCCAACGATTGTGATTTTCGAAGCTAAAATATGATATCTTGAGCAGATGGAAATACATTCCCATGAGATATGTATATATAGTCAAAAGTGATAACTATTTATTGAGTGTAATGAAATGTATCCTTCGCTAACTGCTTTTGTTTGAGATAATTATCATGAAATATTTTAAATTAATTTTTATGTTTGTCATTGATCCTAATCCACCCTGTAGTGTGGTGTTTGTAGAGCATTGCGACTCGTACAACTTATTCTCACAAATATCAAACCTCATTTACTAATTAATTTTTTGTGTGAATATGAAGAGTCCAAGCATTGCTTTTTTATGTTTATTGTATAGCTATATTTAGCCTTGATATCCATGATTTTTTAAAACAAAATCTCACCGTTAGATTTCGAGCTATTCATGTTTACTCATTTGTCTAATTGGAAAACAATGCAAATCTCATTTTTTCTCATTGAAATTCTAAGACGGTGAAAAATCATTAAAAAATACACAGATTCAGAATCCGGCAAGCATTTTCCCTTATTCCTCTCCGTTAAGAGGTTTTGTAAGGTGTTGGATCCCTTTAAATGTAGAATTAGCTGGTAAGTAATGGCCCTGGCAAATTTTGAGCAATATTACTCCATCAATAACACAAAACTTCCTCTGTAGATATTAGGCCACATTTGTCAGTGACAAAGCCAAGATTCATTCGCAATAATCTCCAACGACACTAGAATCCATCTGTTAATTCTTTGATAAGTGTCTACTCTATATTACATCCAAAAAAGCAATAAACTACAGAGCTGCTAAAGTCATGACTTCACATGTTGAGTGCTGAATATTAGTTATTAGTTAAAAATGAGATCACAGCGCACTCTATTGAAAATTATTTCTTGTTTTCTTGAAACGGAGAGTTCTGATGAATTTGTAACATCGCCATTGAATAGATCTATTTTAAGTCTGGATTTGAATATACTAAGGGTAGGTAAATTTCTTATTTCAGGTGAAAGCTTGTACTTTAAGTTAAAGGGAACCATACCATACCCGCCATGCTATCTGACCCGAACGAGCCACCTTGTGGTGAGACTGGTAACTACCTGCTCGCATCTGCGTTATTACGCAGAGACATAAACGTATACACAAGGAAACGATAGGAGCTAACCTATTTTATCTCTGTATACATTTTAATTTTAATACATTGTTACAAAAAATACAAAATACCTGTATATTGATTTTTTTACCTTGACCGATTCTTGAATTGAATCAAATTTGTCCAAAGGTCTTGAAACGTTAAATACCTAAATATTTATCTTTGACCTTGGGATGACCTTGTACAAGAAACATTAATGTTGACCTCGGTTCATCTAATCATAATTCGCCAAGGGCCATAGTATCATCAAACGCCAAATACCTAGACATTGATCGTTTACCTTTGAATGAACTGAACTCTGACCTTCGGAGACCAACTTACTAAGGTTAAATGGTGTAGAAGGAGATGTCCCGGCAGACAGACAAAATGACAGACAGACCAAACATGCTTTTGTAGTAGGTCTCGACATCTCCTTTTGCCCTCATACCTGATGGGCCAGTGAGCGTTCTACTAAGGTCAGAGGTCAAAGTCATTCTAGGTTAAAGGGAGAATCAGATATATGGAGGTGACAAAATTACAAGCAACATGTACAATTGACGTACTTATCTATTCCTTACAATCTCAAATACAATATCTCACAAAATATTTACGATATGTTAGAAATTGATGAAGTTATAACAGATTAAAAGTGCAAAATTGTAAATAATAGAGAGATTTCGCACCTAGTGAAAGTACAACTTATAACGTATACTTATATAGGCCAGGACTCAGCATGGGTTTTGGGAAGTTCAAGGGCCACTTGATAGACATAATGTTTCTGAAAGATGACTTCATTTAGCATCAATTCATATATGTCTGGGTCTTTTTAGTTTGTGGACGAAGGATTCTGAGCAGTTTTACCCCCCTAGAATAATATTTCTGGGGGTACTATATTATCATTCTATAAAATCAGGTATACATTAACTATAGCACTGATTTATACATATTATGTTACTAGCACTGTAGTCAAGTGTTTCCTATAGTTATAGGGAGATATGTTGATTGGTTTGGGAGAAAATATAATTTATCGAAATAAAACGCATAGTTTCGTTATCTTTTTATTTTCACCAATCTTATTTTTGCAGCTTCAGAGAAATAATAGTCAGTAATAGTGCTCCAAGTAGTAATCAAAAATCATTTCCAGGCTATGTGTGACATTGTAATATAAGGAATGTAATGATTGAGTACTATTTTGTATTTTTAATATGGCTTTGTTGACCCCTACCCCTTACCCCTTTTTAGTCTTACCGATTTTATTGTTGCAGCTTCAGAGAAATAATAGGCAGTAACAGTGCTCCAAGTAGTATTCAAAAATCATTTCCAATATATGTGTGACATTGTAATGTAAGTAATGTAATGATGAAGTACTATTTTTTTGTATTTTTAATATGGCTTTGTTGACCCATACCCCTTAGAAATACAACAACGCGGAGGGGGCACAATTGGATCAGAAATTCTATGATGACTACTTATGTCCTGCCTTGTTTATTATTTTCTTCAAGAATAAGTTTCACAAATGTCATAAAACACAAATTTCTTGGGTCAAAAGCCTGTTTCAATGTTTATATATAGACCTAGAGGTTGGAAATTCATGGGTTGAAAGATATGGGCCGAAAGAAAATAATGTACATGCTAAGAATGCCTATTAATATAGAGTGCACGATGTAAAGTTTGACATAATTAGAATTTTCCAAGTGAACATGAACATTATACATTCTCAAATATTATGCACCATTCAAAGAGTCCTGAGAGTAGAAACTTTCAAAAGTATATTGTTAATAATAGGAATTTTCACTATATTTGACTCTCTATTATTGCTTCCAGGGTGGGGAAGTTGACTCAATAGGTTTTTGACAGCTCGATCTTTATTTTGTCAAAACCTCCTGCACTTCCCATGTGGGGGTCTCACGCAAACCCTTGAATTATGCTCAACTGCACATGGGTAAAGGGGATGTTTGAAGAAATAATTTTGAAATAAGTGAGAAAAGTCCAGTCCTTCTCCCTTATTAATTGAATGAAATGGGGGGAGGGGGAGTCATTCGGAGTTTCTTCAGAGTCAGAGGTACATGCAAACTTTATCTCTTGTAGAATCATTTTTAGATATAAAAGGAATATTATAAGAAATACTTCTGAACAATCGTTTCTGTCTTTCTCCTTTTGCTCATGGATAAAGTGGAGCAGAAGGGGGTTAAGTCATTGTCAAAGGAGTGGTATCTATATGGTGAACTTTTTGAATACACGTTTCTCTTAAACCAGTCATCAAAACATTCTGAAAATTTTACACATCGTCAATTTAATGGTTATCATTTGGATGGTGACATTATAATTTGAAATATATTTATATACTTTTCTCTATATTGTTTTAGATAACACATGAGACACTTCTTTTTGTTCTTGGTATCATAAAGAATGAAACATCTAGGTATCATGAATGAAATGAAACATCTTTACGAACCTCATTGGAACAAAACGACATAAACACAACGTGTGTAGGTCTCTCAATATTGTAATCGTACAAAGGAAGGTTTGGTTGATATTAAAAAAGTATCTTGTTAATGACATTAAAGGTTGAACTTTTATCTATTTTGGGGGGTTTTGTAAACGTTTTTGCATACTTATTGTAAAATCAACCAAAATTTCCTTTGTACAGGGTGTTCCATATGTTTCAGGAAAGATGCTGTATTTTATTGGTTTTCTTTTCAATCTAGCTGATTTTTTGAAAAAATGTGTCCAAATATGTTGTGAATAAGTTGGAAAAGTTTCATATCATGAAACTCACTAGACTGAATAATATGGTTGCTATAGTAACCTAGGGGTAGGGTAGGTGGAGCAGGTGTAACAACGCGCAAAACATGATATTTTTGTAAAAATAGTAGTTTTTGTAGAAAGTGTTCAAAGTATTAATTTGTTATTGTCGCATCAAACTTGTTGGAAATTAAAAAGAATAAAGGTGGATTCCTGGAAATTAAAAATGTTATCACACCCTTTATTAGCCATCATCATTATTTCAGCATCTATCCCTTCCGCATTAGTTAGCACTCTCACTGTTCTCGGATGTCCACATTTTGGATAATCAGTCTCAGTTTCCCTTCCAGATTTGAACCGCTTGTACCACTCAT